TTTTAAAATGCTTCAGCAATTCTGCATTTGTAGATATAGCACCCGTAGATTTCATCGGAATGAATACGTCTTCAAACATACAAAATTACCTTCCATACTAATGGCGCTAAATATAAGAAATCAGTAACACCTTAACTAACTTCTACATTTCAAACTTCTTATTCAGGCTTAACTTCCGCAACGTGACAATATTTAGTGGAATAACATGTCTTTGGTTGCCAATCTGATGATACATCGCCAATTCTGTATAACGGGCAGCAGCCAATAACGCCAACTAAGCTTGTCATTGCGCATGCACGAAGCAACTTCAATGTTAGGGCGAGACGCTACTGGAATAAAACAGGGACAGTTGGCAGCTATGCAACAAACACAAAGCTCAACTGGGAGACAAATACCTCCCAAGTGAAGATATCAGACAGATGGCCTGCCAGCCATATCTGAACCAGGATTGGTAAGTTTCTGTCACAGTGTGTGTGTGTGGGGGGGGGGAGGAACACAGAAAAATCAGATGCAAGAAATAGGTAGGTGAAAGAAATCAATTTTTGAGCTTATCTATATTATTAAATCTATAATTTATTTATATGTACCATTGTTATATTACTAATTTAGTTATTGTCGTTTTCTGTATAATTTAACTAGTCTCATTTGTATGCTTGGAATACATTTTTTTAGATATAATAGATACATATTACCAAAAAAGGTGCACACTTTTGTGCACTTGCTATAATATCTCTTTCCTATCTGTGAATTTAAAAATTTTAAAATTGAATTTCAGTTCATATTAGAACTAAAAATAGTAAAGTATTGTAATTATTTAGGAAGAGAGTAGAACGCAATATTTATTTTATTATTTTGAATGGATAAATTTGAAAAAGAAGAAAATTTTACTTAATCTTGCTGAAATTTAGTCTCAACTACATTACACATTTCATGCATAATTTCAGGAATGGCACATTTGTTTCTATAATACAGGATTTAATGTATTGCAAATCATTTGGCATCAGGGTGATGTTAAGAATTTTAGAAATGGATTTTTTTTTCAGCATGCTCAGCAAGTTTCTTCTTCTATGGCGGAAGAAATATTTATTTGGAAGAAATATTTGTAATTTAGTTGCATTTAATAAACCTGCTGTATTACTAATAAATTTAATCAGTTTAATTATATGACTATTTAACATTATTTGACCACCTCCAACAACCATCTTTGGTAATATGCATATACATACAGTACAAAGACCAAGATCCAGAATTGTTGGGACTTCAACAATACCAGATTTAAAAAAACTTGCAGATTTTAGATCACTAATTTAAATCTAGTGAGATGATATACATGCAATAATAGCAAGAAAAAGACTGAGCAGCGTGGATGGGTAATGGCTATATAGAATTCGCAGATCCATATTGAAGAGGAAGAATTCTGATTGCATAGTATGCTAATATGTTGACTTCGTAATATCTAAAAAACTTCGCAGTCGAAGCAGGTTTAATTCCATTTTTGTTTGCAACTGATATTTGTGGCCATAGTTCGCTTGGCACTCTAGTCTTGCCTATTCAAGAACATTTACATTTTTGATATTATCGCGACAGGAAGCAAAATTGCGTACAAGCACTGCACAGAAGCTAAAGTGCATAGTTATCCAATATGGAAGCACACTATGAGAAAGGTTTTCGGTTTGAGTTAAAAGTTTCAGTTCCCAATTATTACGTCATCAGCGCTGCACAGCCATGCAAAATGGAATGATCTAGAAATGATGCGGTCCAGAAACGTTATTACGATTTTTAGAACAGAGAGGGAGAATTCAAGGGTCATCGTTAGTTTAAATTATAATTTTAGTTTACATATATAAATTAAAAAAAATAGTCTTGGTTCATATTTTTTTAAGAAAGAGTGCTTTCTTTCTTTCTTTTTTCCTGAATCATTGCTGCCTGAAATTAAAACGATATTTTCCAAATTTAAAACCATATCACAGATATTCCTCATTCTGTTAATCAACTGATGACTTCAGAAGACTGTTAACACTTTATGAAATCATTTGTGTTAATCAATGTGATAATTACTTATTTATGCATAAAGCCTTAGATCTTGTGTTGATTTGCTGCTATTTGATTGGTTTGATTCTTCGTTATAATGCTTTAGCTCAAATTTTCCACAAAAGTATTTTCTTAGTAACATTATGTCAATTTTATCCCACTCCTCTTTTGAGTTATATTTTGAAGTCCATCCATTTCCTTGAATATCATTTCGCTAAGGCCATTTTAATGAATCAACGGTGCAAAAGCCCATATTAGAAGCTCTAGGTGATTTTACAGGTATTTCATTAAATAGGATACATTTTATTCTTTTTTTCCAAAATAAGCAACAGTTGACTTGCACAGTGTGACTAATCGTATTTTGATCATATGAAACTCAATTTCATTGATGTCTTTTCCAATTAGGTAGGAATTTCTTCAAAAATAGTTTCTAAAATATTCTGCTGACAACACAGTTAATTAATTTTGGCCTTGCTTGAGACTCTTTTCATTCACTATTGTAATAAAAGCCTACAATTATCACAAATTCCATTGAGAACTTATTAGAAAATTAATGAGGTATTTTCATAAGTTGAGCAATAGAAAACTAACCATTTTCTCTTATTATTACAGCTACATAAATATGTTAATGTCTCAATGAATGTTACAAATTTTCACTTATCAGCAGCTAGATTTTTTTTATATAATTTTCTATAATTCATTTTTTTCTATCCACAACATGCTCTGGCAAAAGCAAATGAACTTCAGGATTGAACACTTTTTAACTTCAAATCTTTATGAATGATTTTACTTACAATACCATTCCCTATTCCGATGGAATGGCTGTACTAACCCATGTTTGAGTAGTCTTAGAACGCAGTTTCGCAAGTCCCTCCTTTTCTTTTTTTCCCTTTTTTTAACTTTACCTTCAGTCAAATGCTGTTTTCCACTCGAATTTAATATATTACAAACACTTCTCTTTGAAATGCAATAACCTTGATTTTTACACAGCTTTATAATTTTTCTGTATGAATATTTTTCCTTGGCGAGCCACCATCTATAAATTTTAGAACCCATTTCCAAAATAAATTTCTTATTCTGCATTCCAATGAAAACAAAAACAATCACAAAATGATAATGCAAAAATTTAAACAGAAAATAATTTCTTAAAGTGCGAACAACCTTCTGTATATCACCTTCATTTCGTTTCTCATTATATTCCATTTATTGGAACATTTCACTTTTTCTTGTGATGCCGAAAACCTCTGGATTCACTGCTCTGATTATCACGATGAAATTTGGTAGCTCCCTTACATCCTGCCAAACATTTAAAAAAATATCTGTAGGCATGTCCTCTTATGATCTTGTGATGCCCCATATATCAGATTTTATATTTTACTGCAGTTTCAGTTTTTGAAGAGCAGTGTGCACAAAATTAGCATACCCATTGACAGATGTGCAATTTTAGGATAAGAGCAAAATGAAATCTATTACTTAATAAAACTATTAAATAATATACAGATTTTTAATTGATAATTTGATTGCCATTGGCCATAGTGTGATTTCACAGCCAGAAGATGTTTAAAAGTGGCATACAATAATTTCAATTGTGAAGAAAAACTTCTATGGCCCATATGCCTTTTTTCATGTTATTTTCTACATTTCTCAAGTATTATACACTTTGTAAGAAGAAAAAGAAATTCTAGTTGTTCAGAAGCCTGGACATTATATTACCCTGGATATTGGACTTCAGATTTCAGTCTCTGTACCATATGTACTTTTTTTAATTTCAGTTTGCAACAGCAATGAAATTAGAAAATCAACATATTCATTCAGAAAGAACAGAAGAGAAAAGCGAATTATTAGAAAATTGAACATATTAGATCATCAACATAATGTAAATGAATAATAATTGTACTATCATTTTCAGCAGATTTTTAGAGAAACACTGTTTTGCATTTTATTCCTGAAAAAATGAAAAATTTATTTTCAAATACATTAAACTTTTATTAGTAAATTTATCTCATTTAAGAATCCTAAGGGAGCATTATTTTTCATATCTTTCAGTTTTCCCATTTCTTCTGTTTCTTTCCACTTTTTTTCCACTGACCTGGAAGAAACCCAATCCTGATCTGAACCCAACTGAACATGCCAGCGATATCTGGAACAGCAACAGCAATTTGCCAACTTCCCCCTAGAACCATACAGAAGCTGAGAATGGCTTTGGATGTAGGAATGAGTGCAGTTAGCTTCCACAAGGGCTCGATGTTTGTTTCATGAAGAATATATGATTTGCTGCACAACCTGCTGTGTCTATTAAAAGTGACTATACTCCCATTAGCTTCAATTTAGTTGACAACTTGCAAAACCAGTTTTAAATATTTCTGCTTTCATAAAGGATAAAAAATGAGCATGTTAATTGGAAAATAATAATATACATTTATGAAAGCAAAGCATTTTCATGAGTTAATTTGGACTTCACATTAAATTAAATGATTTTATAAATTCAGTTCAGAGTTTATTACAGAATTAAGTAATGATACATTTTTAATACATCTTAAAGTATGTGAATATAAAATTTGGTACTTTCTGATTATTTGCCCATTGAAAAGTGAATTAAGAATTTGCTGGTGATTAATATTTGCTAAGTTAATATGCAAATGGCAACATAGATTTTCAAAGTGATGATACAATAAAAATTCCACCCAAAAGCAGCCAGTCAGCAAAAATTTTAAAAAGCAAGAAATACTGGTAATAATACACTTATCTTCTTTAAGAAATCTTTCCTTTTTGTGCTTTTGTTCTTGTTTGCACACTGCAATCTGTTTTCGCTTTTAAAAAATAATCAGAGAATTGCACAGACATGGCATAATACAACTTTAGCGATACTGCTTTTACTCATGAGTACATTTTCATGATTTTTCAGTGGTGCAGATAATCAGAAAATAAGGAACATTTTTACAGTATGATAACAAAATATATGTAATTACCAGAGTTATATCTCGCGATGCAGCTGCAGCACTCATATGAAGGCTAGGCTGTTTAACAGAACTTGAGCAATCTAGAGCTCTAGCGAAAGTACCCACAGAGCTAGAAAAAGAGACATATAGCAAATGTTAAGAAAAATGTTCATATAGTGTAGCTCATATTCAAACATTCATGGTCATACACACAATTCCTATTTTAACTCTTTATTTATATTTTAACTTTAATAGCTTTATGATTATCATTATTTATCAGAAGACATAGGATAGATGCGACAAAATTATAATCTATAATTATAAATACATGAATAATTTTACACATATCAAAGTTAAACAATTTTTGGATTTTCTTATGACAATTAGGTTTTAACTTCTCACTGCCATCCATGTCGGATCCCAGGAAAACAGTCAGCCTCTCCTTACTCCTTCCTCCCCCCCAAATGTACTTTTCATTCTTGAAAGAAGTGTTTTGTCTGGCAAGTTTTTGTAAAATAATACTTTTGAATGATAAGCTGTGTCTTACCTTCAGTCTTTTCAACCATTCATTAGTAGCTTAAAAGTGTTCTTCTACGAGTTTAGCTGCAACTTGAAGAACTTTTTCCTTCAAATTTTAAGTCGAAAATCGCCATATTTTGGATTTTCGTCTACTTTATTCAGGTGATTAGAGCTTTCTTGATTTTTTTCATAGGAAGACATTTGGTGACTTTTTTTTTTAAACTATTATCACTATCTATGGTGTCTTTTGATGATAAAAGGCCATTTAATGATGCTTGAAGAATTACAAGAGCTTTTGGAAAGGTAACTTTTAAATGATTTGATTTTTAAAAGCATCAGTAATTTTTTTTCCTGAAAATGTGAGCATTTCATGCTTTCCTAAATTCTAAAGAAAGCTACAAGTATTCAAGATTCCATTTTCAAACTAGAAAAGTCCAGAAATAACTCAGAGAAACTTTGGGTGGAACACATGTACCAAGAATTGCACATGTCTATTTTCCCATAAATGCCGAAGGAACATGGTTCCCAGTTATTGTGTGAATGAATGGGAGAAGGAACGGACACTGACAATGCACTGTAAGACCCATTCTTCCTGAGGCTGAAATGATTTTATCCTCTAAACTGGACAAAAAGAAACTTATCTTGCGTCTAAAAACTTACATGAGTATGATTCTTCTAAGATAAAGGTTTATCAATTTTTTGTATCATTATTTTCCTATTCAATTGGTCTGGACTTTGCAAAACTGGTGGTTTAAGTGGGGTGATGGTTTCATTATGTTTATAACTTATTTTGACTGTAAAAAAGAAATTAATTTTATTATTGAAGTTATTTAGCCTTTTCCGTGTTTAGTCTATCAAATACGGTCGAGAACGCTGCATGGTTATATGTCTGCCAGGATTATTTCCCTTTGTAATATTGAGTATTAGTAACACTAAATGGTGGTCTGAAGTGAGACTGTGCTTAACATTAAGTCCCATTGGTGCAGCAGTGTGTAAGATCAAGTAAATCTGAATATCCGCTGAAGGATGGTATTTAAATTCACCAGAAGCATGCACAGCAATAGGTGATTTAGAACGAAGTGTCATAAAATAAGTTCATTATGTTTAACCCAATTATGTATGCTTTGTGCTTATTTCTCCACCAAGTATAACAGTGCTGTTACCAGAATGGATGTTCTTTAGAATACTTGTACAGAGTTTATTACATGGCAGATTATAGAAAGGACAGAAAAAGGTGCTTATAAATTTTGGTAAAATTAGTGACACTTTAAGTAAGTTCGAAACCAAAGCTACTTTCTTCACCGATTAAGCATGATTGGAACAAGTTGTGGATATATGCAGCTACTCCGCCACTACAATGAGACAGTCTACCACAATGGTAACATATGTAGTTTGCAATATTAATGCTACTTTTGAGTTGCAGCATGAGTTTGTGTTCTTAAAGTATGTCAACATCATAATCCTGTAGAAAATGCAAAAGTTTAGTGTTTTTTTTTTTTTTTTTTTTTTTTTTGTATGATGTTGCAGGCATTCCACATCATTAAACCACTGACTGGCATGACTGGCTTTATCCGGTCATGAGATTTTTTGCCATCTGGTACACATTAAATTAAAATTTAAGATATTTTGCTTTCTTACTTTCTTTAATACTGTCATCTTAATGAATATAAGTTTATAAAAATAGAGATTAAAATAAGTAATTACACAAATTTATCTAATAAATGGTGTTAAATGGAAGTCTTCACATAACAGATCAAAAACCCATGTCGCCCAATGGTTTAAACCTGACAAAGTGAAAAGGGTGCTTATCCATGAATTTGGTTATCACTATTAATTTTGTCAGGTAGTTTGAGTGTAGTTTTAAAGAGCTGAGCAATTCCATAATGCCAGATGTTTTGATTAGAAGTATGACTGACTTCAGATCTTTAAGAACGGACTTCTGTAAGTATGAAAGGAGTAAATCCCTTTCTAGTAGAACCCACTTGTGCATAAGATTTATTCATAAGTACTCTACTTGCATAAGAGGCCCCTCAACTTTAACAGCAGAGAATTTTTCACACCTGTGAAAATTCAAAGTATGTTGCATGAAACAGCACAAGTAGGATGGGGGTTGATCCTTATTTTTACTAGGGACACTGATAACAGAAGTGATTTTCTCCACAGTGAACAAACACATCTTGGTTCATAGTTACATTCTGTTTGGGTGTGGTAGAACTCCTGACATCGACAGCAGTGTAGGGATCCTGGTCTTCCACAGTATGCTTCTATTTTTTTACTTTCATGTCATTGATATATATTTCATTTAAGATATTCTTCGAATTGTCATTTTTCATGAGAATTACCAGGAATATCGGGAGTTTGACGACGTCTCCATTTTTTCTTCTGGTCATCCGATGAACTGCATGCCATGTCTTTCAGATTTAAGTTTGTCTGCTGTATCCTTGGTTTCAGTACTTAGGGGTCAGGCTAAGACCACTCGGAGAGGTATCAATGTTACCTGCATCTGGAATTTGCTCATTTTCAGGCTGCTGTGAAGGTTTCGCACATGGTAATTGGCTTTTGTGACATTCATTAGACTTCTTTTTAGTGTCGCAGGCAGTTTTGATTGCTATGTATGGCCTCAGGTTGTCATCATCAAAACTGGAATCAAGTATCAAAATGACCTTGTATTTATTTGCAATAATATATGTCATAAGCTGGATTTGGGCTTATTGCTTGCTTCCTTCTTTGAGAGGCTTCACTTGATGTTGGATTTTCTTCAATGCTGTTCCATTCAACTCAAAAAAGAAACAACGATTCTTCAAGGTCTCTGTTCTCCTGGTCTGTAAGAGAAATTTTTCTCATGCATGTTTCTTTCAGCTGCTGTATGTAGCTTTGAAAAAATTCTAATGCTCTTTACATGGTTAAAGGCCACTTATGACATGCTGTGAACTCAAACGTTCTGCATGCCAGCATTTTAAAAGCAACGGAGAAAGCGAACACAAAAGCAAAAATCAGAATAAAACCAAACAGCCTACTGTTACAGTGTCTGATCATTGACTCTCCAAACTAACTCTGACCATTTTCTGTGCCCATCTTGGCATTTTGTTTTTATAAGATTGTGAGCCTCCATTTTTTAAAAATTTTTTCTTTATATAGATAAATCCTGACATTTGGATATATATTTTGCTGTCTTTTTAACATTAATTTTAACTTACATTGCTAATATGTGTGAAGACCAAAATATTTCAACTGCTGCATTCCAACTTACATTCTGCATGCTCATATATAGCCAGTATATTTACATTGGCAATGAAGAGCGGTTTTGAAATTTAACTAAAAACTTCTGTAAACATTTTTCTTCCTTGAACTAACAAATTTATATTCAGTAATGTTCCTTAAGAACAAAAAAGTTGCTTTGAAAGTAATTCCATTTGTAAACATGCATTCCCTCATAAAAATTCTCAATGCTTTTTATGAAGAGTTCTTTATCTCCTCAAATTGCAGTACTTTTCTCTTTACATAACTTTTTGTATGTAATTATACTTAACAAATTTAGAAATTTTACATTTAAAAAATTTTGATTAAATTCTTAACATGTGTATTAGTTGTCTAGATAAAACAGAAAAATTAGACCAGAATAAATGCACAAAACATGACCTTAAAATTCCCAAAATTTACCAATCAGAATATCTCTCAGTCCCAAAGGGGTAAAAATTACCAAAATTCTCCTATATGTGTATATATACAAATCACAGCCTTTTACAACATTTTAAAATGGAGGAGTGAATAACAGTCATCTTATTTTCAAGCAAACACCACAGTATTGTACTCACACAGCTAAATTATTGAGATGTATGAATTACATCACAACTGCATTTTTAAATACTGAGAGCAGAATAGCAATTTATGAAAATAAGATATAGACAAATTTATATATTATTATTAATAACAACAGAATTTTATAATGAAAGATCAAGAAAACACATTTACCGACAAATGATGAGAAACTGATCTATTTGCCGATCAGTTAAATTATGATTTGGTGTATATACTAAATCTTCCAGCTCCTCAGATTTTCTAGGATCCTCAGCACCTATATTTCAAATGGAATATACTTAAGTCAAAAATGGAAGTTTATAAGTAATGTCTACTTTGCAATTAAAATATATATATATATATATATATATATATATATATATAATACAAAAGAGTGGCTGTTAAGTTAATAAGACTAGGCTTCTATGAAACAAAAGTTGTATTATTCAATATCTAAAATTAAAATTATTTTTCTTTAGAAAATTGCATAAAAAATCATATTTGAAAAAAATCATTTCCTAAATTAGCTTCAAATTGTTTAAATTGGTTGAATATTGTAAAATATCTACAATATAATAAAATACCTATTCAGCTACTAAAGAAAAGAAAGTGTATTATACACATACACCCAAACAAAATACCTATGAATAATGAATGTATAAAGACTACAGTAATGATTCAATGTGATAAGACCGCATATGCCATTGCAACCTAAGAAAAGTATTATTGTCAAATCTTGAAAATTCTCGATTGCCAGTCAAAAAGCAAAGTAACCAAATGTTGTTTGGAAGATTTGCAGTTTGCAGTTCATTAGTTAAGTATGGAAAAGCCCATGAAGGTTATTTGCCAAAAAGGAAGAAATGCAATCATCAAGGATTTTCTAACATAAATTGGCTCATATTCCCACATGTAATGTGAAAGCTACAAACAAAATTCATGCAGCAAAAATTATTTGAATATGAAGATTGATAAATTTAAGGTATCCAATACATAATGGGATATAAAAGCTGTGTGCCTAACTGTGCATAAAATATAATGAAAATATGCTGTTTACCCCCATTTATCTAGTAGAAAGTCCTAGATCCAGACCAGCCGGATTCTGAACTTTTCTGAATATTAGATCATCAGTTTAAATTAAGTATGATGACATTTAGAAATTATAAAATTCAAAATATGAAATAGTGGCTTTGAATAATGAATATGAAATAATAAAACATTTATGACATTAAGGGAATCAAAATTTAAAAAAAAAAAAAAAAAAATCTGAAAGGTTTTAGATTGTAAATTACATTGAAAAACATTGGTGATATTGTATTTATTTATTACCACTTCTCCATATTTCTTTACAAATTCTAATAATTGGAAAATTTTGTCCCAACATCTGAAAACCTTCAAATTTGTGGCTCTTGTCATAATGCTTAGCCATCATCTGCTAAACACTACTGGCAATGTATCATGAGATTAGCAACTAAAGACATACCATTCTGCTCAATTTTCTCTTACTTATACAGTCAAAAACCGTTAATCCGACTTTGGGACTTCGGCGATTCTGGATTATCGATTTTTCCGGTTTATAGATCATCAGTTTAAATCTCGTAAGATGGCATGCAGAAATTCTAAAATTAAAAATATGAAACCGTAATTTATGAAATAAAGAACAATTATGATCTAAAGGGTATCAAAATTTACAAAAAAAAAAAAAAAAAAAAGCTTAATATTTATTTGTTTACTTTATTAAACATTTCTTTCAAGTTGTTGTTTAAGTTGTAAGTTGTTTATAAGTTGTTTAAGTTGCTTCGTTTTATGTGATAATATTTTCTCTTTAATTCTATAAACAGACATAATTTCTTGTTCAGTTACTAAGTTCCACTGTTCAATAATTGCTGTGTCGAGAATACCGACTAATTTGTCAATCGAATTTTTTTCGTTTTCACTAACCTCTCTCTCACATTCTTCATGTCTTTATCCATTTTTTGCAGCAATTCCACTTTTGTTTGTTGGACATCAAAACATACTTTCGTTTTGTAGATCCTTTGGAAGTTCCAGCATCGGAAATTCTATTTGACATAATCGAAAGTTCAAGTTTACTTTTATAAAATTGCTCTTACAGTCTGCAAAAAATAATAAGCGGGATCCAATTCGAAGATTAAGGAACAACGCAATCATTAACATTAACTGAAATAGATAATTCCGTTATACATTAAACGCGCAGGCGAAAATGTATTCTGCACTTGCGCACACGCATATGTGCAGTAGTCAAGGTCTTATGCGCACACGTAAAACGCCTGTGCGCATGTGCCAACGCGGCGCATGCGCAGAATGTTTTCAGCTTTGAGGTCCGGATTATAGATCATTCCGTATTATGGGTGTCCGAATTAACGACTTTTGACTGTATTTCCATGTTGACACAGTTAAGCCTGAATTATATTAGTTTGGTTATTTATCATATTTATGCTATTTCTCCCAAATGCTTAAAGCTAATTTCTCTTACTTATATTCCATGTTGACATCATATTTACGCTATTTCTCCCAAATGCTTAAGGCTAATCTGAGCCCCAAATAATTAATTCCCTGGCATACTCAAGGCTTATCCAGGGCCAAAGCAAGACATTTTGCAGTTTGGTGTAGTCTCTACAAATCCTGAATTTCTTAAAAATTTTGCAGCTCCTAAATTTTTCCACCTAGTGCCTTCCATAAATTTTAAAGGTTCTGCCATCCTTTAATTTTTTGGCTTAATGCTTTTCTAAATTCTAAATGTTTTGATGTGATATTCTACTGATGATCAGCATATCAATATAATAAAGTCAAAAATGGATGTCTGATTAGGGGCAAACATATTGTTAATTTTTCAGATTTTATTTGTAAATCCTCAATAAATGATAACTTCTCACCAAACCAGGACTGGACAAAAAAGAATTATATGATCTTCCCTAAGTGGGGGCAAAATGCAAGAAATTTAGACAATAATCCAAAACACTCTTGCGATCAGCACATTATTCAGTAATTCAAATGTTCCAAGATCAATTGGCAATAATGGCATGGTTAATTTTTAAGATTCCTCTGAAGACTTCTTGCAGTTTCATTCAGTTCAGTTTCAATTTTTTTTTAATTTCCTCAATAGATGTTGGCTGGTATATCACAAACAGCAGACATTTAATGTTCTATGAAACTTTTTAAACATTTAGCATTGCTGCAGTGCAGCATAATTCCAGAATCTCTTTGGGATTTTTTTAAGAGAACAATTATTATTATAAGGCTTGTTTTATAGATACATCAAAAATAGAATGAATATTACAAACATGTAGCAAGATCCAATTGCTAACTTTTTCTTCATTAAATACAATATTCATAGCAATTCCCAAATATAATGATATAAATTGGCCATTATATTTATGAATTAATAATTTTGCTAACTCAAGTGCAATAACCATACCTGCCAACCTCTAAAGATAAAAATTCAGAACAACACGAAGAATTAATATCATGCTTTGATATTAAAAAAATAACAATTTATACAAATAAAAAGAAAATTGTACTTACATTAGTAAATCTCAATTAAGTAGTAACTAAATTTATTAGGGAACATAAAACAAGAGCTTAATGTTACACACACAAAAAAAAAAAAAAAAAAATATTGCAATGAATTTAGAGTGCATTTTTTGGCTTTAGCCAAAAATTCTTTGGAAAATTTCCTGTCATAACAATTAGTTTCCTCATAACATTTAGCAATTAAAATGTTTTCTAGAGTTTTTGGTGAAACTGAAGAACGAAACATAGTTTTGTTTTTCTTTACAACACTGAAGACTCTCTCGCACTCAGCATTATTGTGTGGAATTACGAGAATAGCACATAAAACTCTTGCTAGTCTATCATATTTTGGTGTTCCATCAGCTCTTTTTATTCTTTTAAGTTACCAACGAGGACATCAAGTCTATCTTCTCCAGAACTGGCAAAGTCTTCAAACTGTGGCAGCAGAAAATTGGTTCTGTAGTTTCATCTAAAGCATCATTATGGCATTCATTTTTTTTAATTGTTAACAAAAATGGAAATTTATCAATAAAAAAACGAATCTTTTCAAAAGATGAATTTTCAATTTGTTTCAAATTTGCCACTTCAGCATTTAAAAGAACTTCACTTTGCAAAGGAAACTTCCTTACAATGTAATCACAGGCTGAGGAAAAGTACTTTCTAACACATTGAAAAAATTCTTTTTTCTCATGATCTTTCAAAGAATTTACAAGTTCCCTGGTTTGATTTCCAAGTATAAGATCATTGTCATCCTTTTGATTTGCCAAACTATTATAGGCAACACGAATCAACACACTGTTTTTCACAATGAACGGTTTTACAAACTTAGTATAAAATTCTTTCAAAAGATCATTAAGAAAAATTCTACAATTTCGACAAAAATCACTAAAAACACTTGAAAAAGGAAAAAAATCGTAAAAGTTGGCAGGTATGAATAACCCAATAAATACATATCTCATTCAATAGTCGATATCTTCATTTTGAAATTCTCTATATTTTTCATAAACTATCTTATAACCTTCAAACTACTATTTTCTTTTTTTGCCATTCTTTGTAAAATTTAAATATGTGTAAGCAATAAGTATTTCCTGTGAAAAATTCTCACATTTAAACAAACAAAAGAAAAAAAAAAAAAAAAAAAAAAAAAGGATAAATGCAGAAAGCACAGAGGTTGATAAAACAGGCCTTGTGATAATGATGCCAACAATATTAATAAATAACAGATACCATAACAAACAGGATATACCCAATGTAACTTCAAAACCTGTTGGAAATACTATATTCTACCAATCTGATAATTAATCCAGGATCAAATAATTGGATAAGCAGGGGAGATTTTACCATCTGCCATCGATTAACACCGAAAATGCTGAATTCTGGAGTGCAGCTATCGTTTTACTTTGTGCATCGCAAGCAATTTCGTTCACAATAGAAGATGTTTTCGTGCGAGCACAAGCGTATTTCTGAGCAATATTGGAGTCGGGAAACATCCGTCTGAAAAGTTGACCAGCGTGATCGGCAGCGCTTAGCGGCACGTTGTGTTCGATGAGGAATGCAGTAAACAAACACTCTGCCAAAATGACATCATCCGAATTCATAGCCGAATTTGAAAAAAAAAAAAAAAAAAAAAAAAAAAAAAAAAAAAAAAAATCATCCACTTTCTTTGAAGTTGTTGAAGCCGAAGCATTAACTTCATGCTTTTTAGACTTAACATGCTTCACAATGTCGCTTCTTCCACCGTGACTTATTATGAAGTCACACATGCACACGTTGCAAAATGCATAGTTATTTCCTTTGAAGGATTCTTTAATTGTTGGAAATTCGGCTTTGTAGGCAGGCCGGAAATATTGAAAATACATTTTTTTTTTTTAAACTCATTTCATAACAACAGCGTATTAAGAAAATTCGTAGCACATGCAAACAAAACAAAACAACAACAACAACAAAAAAAAAAAAAAAAAAAAAAAAAAAAAAAAACAGACAGAATGCGACAATCCACGCTCGCTCAGTAATTCCCTTGCTGCTGAAGCGAACGCAAAAAAAATAATCTGGCGCCCACAAAGAAAAGAGTGGGAGAAACAAGTTCAGTGCATTGGATTGGCTGGTTAAGTGGCGAGTTGGGAGAAACCGCAGATTACTGGATTCGAAGTAGTCGGTAGTTGGCGGTAAAACACAATGCAATTGGCGAAAATCGCTGAATTCGTGAAAAATTCTAAAATTTCGACAAAAATCACTAAAGACACTTGAAAAAGGAAAAAAATCGTAAAAAATGGATTACGATCGTAAAATCGTAAAGACAAACACATTTTCGTAAAAGTTGGCAGGTATGAATAACCCAATAAATACCTATCTCATTCAATAGACAATATCTTCATTTTCAAATTCTCTATATTTTTCATAAACTATCTTATAACCTTCAACTACTATTTCCTTTTTTTGCCATTCTTCGTAAAATTTAAATATGTGTAAGCAATAAGTATTTCCTGTGAAAAATTTTCACATTTAAACAAACAAAAGGAAAAAAAAAAAAAAGGGATAAATGCAGAAAGCACAGAGGTTGATAAAACAGGCCTTGTGATAATGATGCCAACAATATTAATAAATAACAGATACCATAACAAACAGGATATACCCTATGTAACTTCAAAACCTGTTGGAAATACTATATTCTACCAATCTGATAATTAACCCAGGATCAAATAATTTAAAAAAAAATTAATTTATTAATTACATGCAGTGAAAGGAAGGATTGTCCTGTGAAGGACTTTTTAAAGGGAACTGGCTAGTATCCATATTACACATAGGGAAATCCACAAAAATGGCTATGCAGCGAAACTGTATTTCGGGACTCAAATCTCGGACCGAACTACCAGTGTTCAGCAGCTTCTAACATTCAGCTGCTGGTGGACACTCAAAACATTTGAAGCATTTTTTAGAATTTTTACATAAACATTTATTAATATATTATTTAATTAAAGCACTTTTTAATATGTTGTTTCTAGACAGAGGTTTGAAAACCAATGTATCAATTTTCTAAAAAGAATGAAGACATAAAATCTCTGATAACTATGAAGCATTTAAAACTGAAGGAAGGTACAGAATAATGATAAACAAATAAATAATATTATTTTATGCAACAAGGTACTTCTATCTATCACGAGAACTACTGTCACAGTCTAACTGGAATATCATTTTGTAAAAAGCGTTAATCCTTTCAAGTAAGGCGAGTCAGGTGAAACTTTTATTTTGTTTTGGCAAATGGCAATCACAAGAAAGACGAAACAATATTATGATGAGTTTTTACTTAAAGCAAAAATCAAAAAGTGTATCGCAAATTCATCATCAAGACAGCAAATTTGAAATCCCCTCTTTTTTTAAGACATCTCTATCTAAAATGGATTAGGATAAGTTTCTGTGGCAACACACAATTGTAGATTTCTGTTGGGTTGCCTTCTAGTGGTAGACAGAGAGTAGTTTAAGGTCAAAAACTGTTCCATTATTAAAGTTACACATTTTGATAACAATTCCTTAAATAAAACAGCATTTAATATAGGAATTCAAACTGAAATATTGAATTATAAACTCAATTAAAAAAATTACACTGGATACATTTCTGAAACGATAATTCTTAAATAGAATTTACACTATTTAATGTTTAACAGAGATACATATGAATAAAGCAAAAAAACAACCTTCTGGTAATAATGGTGGTATTTCAGCTTGATACCTAGGTCCCACTCTTATTTCTCCTTTGTCAGCCAATAATGTTTTTTGCTGAGGGTCAAATACCAGAGAATAGAAGAAACAATCCTAAAACCAATAAACTTCTTTAAAAGAGTATACATTTATCAATATTAATAGTGCAATATGCTAACAATTTGCTGTATTTATTTAAATAGAAAAGTTCTCAACAAAAAGTTATTCTTGATCAAATTTAAAAAAAATTAAGAGACTAACATGATTTACACAGATACCTTTACTAGGATATAGCTTTCTTTAGAGATGTTCAGAAATTCAAAAGTTTTATAACTTCTGTAAAATCAAAAACTATAATTAGAAGGCGCTTATTTTTAATAATTTTATTTATCCATTTGAACAGTACTTTTGGCCTAATTCAGCAATATTTATTAAAGCCGTAAGAAATTAATCATGAAATCTTATTATAGAAAGCTTAAACTACAGAAAGAAAAAAATCATTTTGAAGAAAAACCTATTACTTTTTATATTGCTTGAAATTTTTATACCACAAATAAAAATGCTGAAGATTTTCTGTACTAATTTATTAAACTTTAAAGTAATTGTCAGTCCTCTCCATTAAAAATCACAACTTACACAGTCCTCACTGCACAGCACCTATTTCCTCAACCTCATCTGAGACAGTATTTCAAATCAGCCTTCATTTGCGCACTTTTCACACGCAAAATATACTAAACAAAAATGGAGTGGACGGGGGAGAAAATTGAACCAACTGCTGCAACTGTTGACTTGAAGTTCCTGTAAAGTAACAGAGTAATGGGGATGATCGCATTCACCTGCAAGTAAAAACCATCACCTCAAGAGAAAGAGTTTTCATAAAGGTCTGCACATTGTCAGTACTGAGATCCACATCAGTTCTATTTAGAAAGACTATAGCTGCAATTATGATCCTTAATACTTGATGATTGATAGATTCATTCATTTCGTGCCATCTCTTTTATAAGCTAATACAAGCTTTCGGGTATTTGCTTCAAATACCTGGGAAAAAAATTACCTGTAGTACATTAGTTGTCCATGGTCCCCTGATAATGTTTTTTTCAGATGAGGCAAATTATTTGGTATCTTAGTGACAATAATATTATTCATGTAGCACACAAGTACAAAATGCTATGAAATGAAATGCATCCAATATAGTGCACTACCTTCTTTCACATAAAAAGATACTCATATGTTGTTGTTTGCCACATACGACAATTTTCTAAGCAGGCTGGAGCCATAAATTGATTAAATTACTGCTCCCCATTAAATTTTAACTGGCACAACCAACTTGGAGATACAGTTATTCATCCTTCTAGAATTTCAAAATTTGTTCATAGTCATATAATGAATCACACATAAATCATGCACACCAAAGCTACATTGAAACAAAATTGTCAATCAGAAATAACAAACATATTTAACAGATAAGTGTACAAAAGAACTACAGTGGACTCTCAATTATGAGGGTGTGGATTATTCATGTGAGGCCGGGGGGGCTGCGTAAAAAATGCAGGTGCAAATTTGATCATGGAGAAAGATTTTTCTTACTGCAAAAATCAAAGATTTATCTAATTGTAAAGAAGTTGAGGTAATTACCAGAATTTATTACTATAACAGTTTTAAAATTTTTATTTAAGATTTTGGGCATACAACTGTTTGATAACTGCTCGACTGGGCTGGACTTTTAATGCTTGAGTGACGCAGATATCGTTTCAAATGTCACAAGAACAGAAGAGGCATAGAGTGATACTGAAGATACAAGTGAAAAAGATCCTGACAATTCATTATATCAGTTCTGATACAATAATGATTTATGTTGAAACACTACTGGGCTTTGTCGACGAAAAGGGATTTGAATAAAATAATAGTATTCTGAAAAATATGCAATGAAATCTGATAGACATTTAAATATTCTCAATATTGATATTTTTAAAGAAATAAATTCATACAATATGCATGAAAATTGATAACTTGTATTATCCATGTTTTTCAGTTATTCGTGACCTGCTTCCCTGGTATTAACAGATAATCGAGAGTACACTGTAATTTATAAGAAAACAAAAAGTAAAAATCTAACCTCTTTATTTAAATAATACAAAAGAGATTCTGTTTCATTTAAAAGAGTTACAGAACATTTCCCTCTTATATGAGTGGCCGGGAGAGTCTCAACCTGCCTCGAGAGGAAGAGTTCTCTGTGTTTCAATTGATGTCGTTCTTTTTCTGCTAACTGTTCAGCTTCTCGCTCTTGCTCTTCTTCTAAGGCACCTAAAAAAGATTAAAAACATTTTAATGCATTTGAAATACAGAACAAGAATTTTAAATGAATCTCCTTCAACTAGATTTTTTCTAATTTACATTTACAGTAAAGCTGCTAACAAAAATTAATTTAACGGAAGAAACAAACAAACCTATTTTAAATACCTATACGAAAACAGAATTAATCATTACATAATTCTAATGCCAAGTATTGGCTTATCCAGAAACTACTTTCAGATTTTTTTCTAAGGAAGTGCATCGATAGTTCCTAGTAATGCATATAATAATTGTGTTGTCTGAAACTTTTTTTGAAAGCATTTCAATAACTGACTTATCAGCAAGCAAATAAAATAAAACTTTCTATCAAAACGATAGCACATGTATTGATTTTTATGGCATCAAAAAAATGGAAAACATGGTAAAGAAAATGGGTTAAACGAACACACATAAATCAAAAAGTTCAATTCTAATGCTTTTTGTTTATGTCTAGCACTATTATTAAATTAAATGAAGTATAACAAATTAATATATGTGCAGAATGTAATAGTGCAATCAGTGTAGGCATTAAATCTAAGGAAACTTTACTGCCAGATTTTCGTTTAGAGCATTTTTACTTTGAAAGTAATTTTACAGCTGGATGAACTAATTCTTTTTATATAAAATAGCTTAATATATTTTTTAAAAGACACAATTTTTTTCTCTTAATTATAACCTTTTCTCTACACTATGTTACACACCTACCCTTTTCTCTTTTGCACTACCTCTTAAGACACTATAAATAATTTTAACCACTCAAACAATATCAGTGGTTCTTGTGGTTGATTACAAAATGGACACTACACTCCATTTTATCCTTTAATTTATTTTATAAAACATACAAACTTTTATAATATACTACTTCTAAAGTATGTAAAAAATTGTACACTATTCACATTCACTTTGTTTAACTCTTTCTCCCTCCCTACTTATCAATCCAAAACTTTTTTTTTAGATTCATACATACATAACCACATTTAAAAAATACAGTAAATTTGTTTTCAATATATCTTAATTAAATAATTCTTAGTTAATTATTAACTGAGAATTAATTAGCTAACTAAGAATTCTTAATTAATAATTAAATAATTCTTAGAAGTAGAATATGTTTTGGCAGACAGTCAAACCAAATTTAATATCATCATGAATTTTTTATACATGTAAATAATTTTAGTGAAATTATATGCAAAATTGTACCATCTTTTCTAAAATGTAACATGAAAAGTCTGAAAAGGGCAAAGCTCAGCTTTTTTGGGGGGGGAAGAGATTACAAGGGCAAATCTAGTTAACATTCAGGTAAATGTTTATCTCACTGAATTGGTGAGGTGTCGCAACGCTTGCTATGGTTTTGGCAAACATTTATCTCCTGAAAAACTATAATTGATACTGTAATTGAATAATGGTAATTGATCCCCACGTTACTATAACTGTAAACCTGGTCCTTAAAGGTAAATTTAACAGTATATGGCTTCTAGTAACTTCAAGAAATGAAAGATACTATTGATTTTTCTGCGGCCAGGGGAAAACTATACAAGACTGGAGAGAGCATCAACTCTGTTTCTCAGTTCAGAGTTGACTTGGGAGTACTGAGATTTCTATGAGATCTTGCATTGTCTTATGTTTAATGTTCTTAGTAATTTCAGTGAGAACTACTGACTATTCTCTGTTATACTGATAACAGCTGTACGAGTACATTTGTAGAACGTTCTAGAACTGTAAAATTTTTAATTTTGGAAAAATAAATTTTATCAAGCTACTACAGGTTCTGTATGCATTCAGCCCATTATTGTGTCAGAAGTGGGTTTGAATGCTGGTGACAAGAACAATGAAGGAGCAACTAAGACAGATGGAAATTGCCTTTTCTAAATTCCAAGGAAAGATAGAAGGCACTATAAACTCCATTGAAGAAGCAATAAAAGTGGGCCAGGAAAAGATGGAAAAGGCAGTCAAGTCAGTTCAAGGAAAGATTGAAGCAGGTCAAGAGAAAATGAACAGATATAATGTCATAATAGAAAGCAAATTTGAGGCCACGGATGACAGAATAGACATGGTTGAAGACAAGGTTCCAGAAACTGAAGAAAGAGCTTCTGCCGCTGGACAACAAATTAGAGAAAGAATATGTTATCGAAAAAATGGAAGAAAGAGTTTCTTCTGTCAAATAACAAATTGATGATTGAGTTTCTGCTGTTGCCAAAGAATTTGACAGCCTAAAGAAATCAATAGTAACAGCTGGACACAATTCTGAATCTTTTATATTCCTATAAATGCATTCTTGTCTCTCTCTAAATCTATCCACATATGATGGAAAGATCTCTTGCTTGTGTACAAGATTCAGTTCTATAGTGGCAGATGCAAATGAATGGGACTACCAAGCTAAGGCCTGCTGTCTCAGAGTTTCTTTGAAAGCAGATGCAGTGGATATCCTTCAGATTCTGCTCGAAAACCTGAGGCTTGGCTTCAAAGCTCAATCTAGAGCATTCGAGCTGTGATTTAGGGAGAAGCATTTAAAAGACCATAGCAGGATTCAATTAAAATTGTGTCAAATGGAAACATTCCAGCAGCTCGCCACAAAAATTAAAATTGTGTCAAATGGAAACATTTCAGCAGCTCGCCACAAACACTGAAAGGCTGTCTCATCTCGCTTTTTCGGACTGCACAACAAAGACAAAAACAAGGGAAATACTGTCTCTGCAGTACTTCAGCAATTACATTTGGAATCCTGAGATACAGAAAGAGTCCCATGAACGGCACATGTCAAGGATTTAAAAAAAAAAAAAAAAAAAAACCGTAGCCATGAAATTTGAGGCACTCCGGTAAGCAACTCATAGAGACCGTTACCCAATCAGAGATGGTTATGCTTGGGAGCCAGTAGATCAACTGACTGCTCATCTATATGATTTAACAAAGCAAAGCAATGCCTTGACACGGAACAAGTATGGCACCAAACCGCTCTAAAGTGGTGAAGACCATGTACTGCAAAACACCCCAAGAAACGGAAAATAAGAACACTCCCCAAAAAGGATGTGGGAAGCAGTTTACTAGATATTGGGAAGGCCCATTTTAAAGTGCTTCAAATTTCTGCAATGATTTATGGAAGTAATGAACTCTTCATCATCGGACATATCAGTGAAGTTCCTTGCAATATTACCTTCATTACAGGAGCCAATGTTACCATCATCCGAAAAAATAACGCTCAACAACTGGAAGATAAAACTCATCAGTATGCCACCCTTCATTACCATCCAGACTGTGTCTGGTGATAAAATCGAAACTGATCATTTTAAGAGGTCTTTCCTATGAAGGCTGTTTGATATATCTGGATGACATCATCACTGAGAAAAGTACTGAACAGAAATTATTAGGAAAAGTATTGAAGAGAAAATCTTAGAAATATGCTTCAGAAATTGAAGGAAACCAATCTTAGGTCCTCCCAAATGTAAATTGTTCAGATAATCTTGGACATGAGATCTCTGTGGAAGGTGTGCGTATGGATCTGGAAAAAGTGTCCGCAGTTAAATATGCCCTGAAAATGTCCATTACCTGAGAAGTTTTCTGGAGCTTTGCACCTACTACAGGAGATATGTGAAGGGCTTTCCTTCCATCGCAAGACCCCTTCACTGACAGACAGCAAGCAAAAGTTCTTGTGGACAAGAGAAGGCGAGGATGCATTTAACAAACTGAAGGAGGCTTTAATATCTCCAACAATCCTGGCATATCCTTAGCCTGACAAACCATTTATTCTTTACACAGATGTGAGTAATAAGAGTGTTGGTGCTGTTTTGTTCCAAGAAATAAATGGTGAAGTACATATCATTACATTACTGCAGCATCTATCTAAACTGGAGAGGAATTACTGCGTCACTAGAAAGAGAGTTGTCCATCCTAGTTAAGGATGCAGAACATTTATTTCCACAATTGCCTCCATGGCAGAAAATTCGTACTCTGCACAAATCATGCATCTTTGACCTGTTTCTTAAATTTCAAGAATACTGAAAGCCAAACAGCTAGCTGGATACAGAGACTGCAAGAATATGACATCGCTGGCCATCATTGGAAAAAATTGTCACATGGAAATGCTTATGCCCCGTCTAGAGGATCCTGTCCACAAAGCTGCTTATATTGTTCCAGGGCCGAAGCGAAATAAATACAAGCAGGTTAATCCTGTCACACGCCAAGTTATGACTTCAACATCGGCTGATCGAAACTGATGGAGGGATGAAGAGACCAGCCAGAAGACAATGACATTAAATCCACAACTGTTTTAATGAAGTTTTACAATAAAAAACCTACTTTGCAGGAGATTTTGCAGGAGAAAACTCCTTACGAAAGGCTAGCCCCTTACTATGGCCACCGTATGCAGTGCCTCAGTCCAAGATGTTATTTGTATATAAATTTTAAATTTATGAATCTATTTATTGATTGATTTTGATCTTTTTCATGTTTGAATTATTGTTCCAGTACAGCATTGATTTTTAATATTTGTGCATATGGCCTCCTCTCTATATGGGACTATAATGCCCAGAATGTGCAGCCTTGGGAAGTAGCCAATGTTAAGAATTTTGTATAGCATATGTAAATAGTTTTAGTGAAACTGTAGTATCTTATGTATAATGTAATGTGAAAAGTCTGAAGATGGCAAAGCTCTACCAAAAAAGTAAGATTACAGGAGCAAGTCTATTTATCAATGAGGTATTGCTATTCTGCTTTAACCCATTAGCCACTGGTGTTGCGTTGACGCAACAGTCAAAATGAATGCGTATATAACTATAATTACCTAAGATATTTTATACCAGAAGATGATTCTGTGTAGGGAATATTATGAAGATTATTTCTGTAAAAAATATTTGCATTCAACAATCATTTTATTTATAATAATTAATCTCGTACTTTAAGCAAAATTTGCGACCAGGTATTTTTGCAGAAAATATTTAATGGAAGAATCCGTCTTTAAGAGTGATCTATTTTTAGTCAAG